CTGCGACTCATAGTTTAGAGCAAGTACAAACAGAGGGAGAGGGGGGAGGGGGGGGGGAAGGGTTTGATGATTCGGATTACTTGGATTAGCTGTGATTCATAGTTTAGAGCAAGTACAAACAGAAGGAAAGGGAAGGGGGGAGGGGATTTTGGCGATTTGGATTACTTGGATTAGCTGCGATTCATAGTTTTTTTTTTCAAATTATTCGATTGGCGATTTTCCCTGTTCCTTTGACTAGTACTTCATCCCCCTTTGGTCAGTTTTTTGGCGATCCTGGTGCTCGCCTTGTCTCCTGAAGGGATTACCAGCTCAGCGGTTCTTGCAAAAGTAGTTCCTGCCAGGATTTTCGCCGTTTCGAGATGACCTTGAGCATCACCACCTCATTCTGAGCCCTGTCACTCCTAGAACACGATGAGGTATCTTACCGACTAGGGAACTTCTTAATCGCTATAAGTGATGGTAATTTTGTTTTAAGCTTCGAACAACTGCCAAGTTCCATGTTCCGATTTTTCCAGTGCAAGACTGTTGGAGATCCCGTGTAATTTTTCCAGTTCTAATTGACAGAATAGTGCTTATAATTGGAATTTTGCAAAAATTATAATGGAAATTTTACAGAACATCCAGCTAAAATTCGGGATTTTCGCCCAAAGCTATCCGTTATAACCGAAGAGCGAACGTCGGCAATCGAAGGTTGTTTACTTGGTCTTATGCAGTAGAAATAGAGAGGCCGTAGAAGGCCGAACCAAAATTGTACGGTCCAAGTAGGGCGGCCAAAAAGGGTGATGTTGTAAAGTGGTTTTTTACGGCCCCTGGTAAGCCAGATCATACTTTTTGAATAAATTTTGAATCCCATCGATGTGGTAGTTCATACTGAATCCGCGATGATAGAAGAGTTTGCATAGATTTCCGTTATTCGGACCGAAGTATTGTCTGTTTTTATTATATTTTTATTCTTCCAGATTTCTTCGTTTTTCCGTTCTCAGGGAGCGAAAGAAAGTTAGCCAGGTTGTGGCAAAATTTTGGATTTAGAAAGATTTATGACCGAAGTAATATCTATTTTTATTACATTTTTAGCTCTTCGAATTTCTTCATTTTTCCATTCTCAGGGAGTAAAAGAAAATTAGCCAGGTTGTGGTAAAATTTTGGATTTATGAAGATTTATGAGAGGCTTATTACAGAAGTTTTGGTGAAATCTTAGATTCAGAAGGGTTTGTATTAGGCTCTTTTCATCGCTCAAAAAAGCTTAAAGTACTGCTAAGTTACAGAAAAAAAAATTTTTTTTTGTACATTTTTAAGCGTAACAAATTGCTAAGTCGTTGCAGGAGAATCTGCAAGAGGATCGATTATTCAAAGGTCTTTTGGGGAAATGGAATTGTCTGGTCAAGTTCAGGAATTATCAGAAGCAAGTTCTCAGTTC